CTTCTTTCTTCTTTCTTCTTTCTTCCATCTTCTTTCTTCTTTCTTCTCTCCTCTCTCCTTTCTCCTCTCTCCTCTCTCTTCTTTCCTCTGCCTCCTCTGGGTATCACAGGCTGCTTTTATAGTGGATCCGGGCGGGACCCCTTTGTGATGCCAGAGCTCTCTGAGGTCACAGTGGCCGCCCCTGATGCATCACAAAGGGGGTCCCACGGGTGCTCCCGCAGGAGCCGCTCCCGCCACCAGGCTGGATCCCTGATGCGGGCCTAGCTCTGCCAATAAAGCACAGCAAGCTCCCATCAGATGAGGGTGTCAATGGTCCCTGGTGTCCCTGTGCGCCAGCAGCGACTTGCTCAGGGTGTGCCCGGGCCCACGTCTCTGCTCGCCTGGGCTTTCCCTGGCTCGGGAGAGCCCCCTGGATCCCACTCAGGAGTGCTCTGCTGGGGATCGGGCCTCTCACAACCAGGGCCCTATGCCGGGAGTGCATCCCTTGGGACCCAGACCGCTCCAAAGGTTTGTCCTTGCTTCACCTGTGCCAAGAGTGACACGCGGGACACGTTTCTGCCAGATCAGCATGTGCAGAGCTGAACTTCCAGTGCCCTTTCTGTTCAAAGCCCTCTGGAGGCAAAAGGGGGGCTGGGGTGAGGGGGAATGCCAGTAAATGGGAACTTAAGTATTCAAGAAAAGAAAGGACCAGAAAAAGACAGCTTCAAATATGAGATAAGTAACAACAACAACAACAACAACACAAGGCGTTACCAATTCTGGAACTTTTTCAATAAAAACATGGAACACTAACTTATATAATCTTATAGGAAATAGCCTTAAGTTTTAAATAAACAAGTGATTGTTCAATGCTAACATATATAATCTTAGAGGAACTCATCTTCCATTTTAAATAAATCTGCAGTCAAACCTGTCAATAGGCAACAAAAGGAGCACATGCTTGAAGGCTCCCTTTGGGACATCGCTCACACTGCTGTGCTTTCCCAGGTGGACACACAGAAGTCTGAGGTTCTCAACATTTAATTTGCCTCAGCATTTAATTTGCCTCAGCCTTTACAGGCAGAGTTTGCTCTCAGGCATCCATGTCTAACGGCAGAGTTTGGAAAAGGGACGTACTACCCATAGCTGAAGAGGGTGATGCTGGGATCACTTAAGTAAACTGGAAATATACAAATTCATGGGACTAGATGGGATGAAGCTGGGCTAGGCAAAAGGAAGAAAACTCTCAATAGTGAGGATTGTCAGGCACTAGAGCAAGTTGCCCAGAAACTGTCTGCAGTTTCTATTCTTGGAGGATTTCAAAAATCAGCTAAATGAGGCCTTGAGAAACTTTCTGTTTCATTAAGCAGAAGATTGCATGAGATTCCTGCAGAACTCCTTTCTAACTTATTATTTTCTATGATTCTCAATAAGCAACTGAACGTAAACTTAAGATCCCCTGGAGATGTGCCTTAAATTGTGCAATGTTGAATGTAGCATGTTGTAAATGCCACAGAGATCCCAAATCACCCATGAGACATGGGAATCTAAAGGAGAGGGTAGCAGTGGTGGTCCAGGGACTGGAGCTGCTAGAGAGGTCTCTAAACTGTGGTTGTGAGGATTAGCAGGGCTTAAACAGTGTTTTCTGCTGCTCCATTCCAATCAGTCACCCTTTAGGTGTGCTGTAGGTGCTCTAGGACTTCCTGTACTGAACCTCCTAGTGCTCACTCAGTGTATTGGTGTCACACTCTCCAAGGACTTCACGAGCCCCAACAGATCACTCAAAGAAATGACCCTAACAGATCTCTCTAACAAGAGTCCTGTGTGGGCTGAGACCTTCCTGAACACTGAGTTAACATCAACATGATCAACTGTGGCAGCTCACAGTGGATCTGTTCTTGTTTCATGCTGCTGACAGAGCTTACACTAGCAGTAGAGTGCAGTGAAGTCTTGCCACTTAGGAGTTACCAGCAGACAAGATCTCTGAAAAATACCCCAAGCAGACCTGGGTTTTCTTGTTATGCTTTTACCTTGTCCCTGAGTGCCTGCTGCTTCAGATGTTGCACAGCTGCTGGTTCAGCAGGTTCATACACACAGAAAGGCTACTGTAACCACTTCAGGTTTAATTTAGGTTTAATCAGTGTTCTGGACAGGTGAACATTTTTTATTTCAACACTATTTCAGAAAAGTTTTGTTGGAGGCTCCTGAATCCTCCAGAGACTTCTGGTTGGAAGCACAAGCAAATTTTTCCAGGCCTGTAGCAGCAGACAGTGTATCTGAACAAGCAAGACACTCCATCCCCTGCTGACTGAGTACATGGAGCCATGAATGTCCTGGAGCAAAACCCAGAAAATTTTTGAAGCTTCTCTGTGATTGATGAAATCCTGGGGAGTAAAACCCCACAAGAACCAAGCTTAACTTTGCAGTAAGGATGTAACTTTGAACAGGACAAAGTTGCACATACCTATTAGCAATGAAAGAGTCAATTTAGATCATCTCTTTAAACAGTAGCCCTTCTGTTTGATGTTGAGTCTGAACTATTGTCTGATGACGGTTCAAATGTGAGTCCCATGTATAACCTTTCAGAAGTTGTATGACTCTGGAAAGGTGAGAAACCCTGCTGAGAGTATGTCTGCATTAAAATAATGGGGTTTCTGTGCAATTCTAAGTGTTCGTTTCCAATCAGGCCTCAATTGCTGCATTAATGTCCCTTGGCATGAGTAGAATTAACATAAAATCATAGAACTATATTATTTTTTTAGTTTTATACTTTCTTTGCACAGGCAGAAACACCTGAGTGTTGTGACTAGAATACCACACAAGAGGGGACACTGTTCAAAGAAGGCAAAACTGATGTACAACACTGAGCAGAGGGTTGTAGCAAAGCAGGGAAGTCATGTAAAAATCCAGGATTCTAGCTTTAATATCAAGAATAATTTACTGCTTAAGTGGTCTTACATGTAATACAATAAGCCCTGCAGGATAAGAATTGTTTCAGGGTTGTTTTTTTTTTTTTATTGGAAAACATCACTGAAAGATTCCTTTCAAAATAAACATCACTGTTCCTGGGAGAGCAAAACAGATGAATTGGCTCTGAGTTCTGGATTTCTCCATAATCTAATTTAAAACAGAACAAAGAAAAAAGGAATCAGTGGAATAGCAACCTCATAGAGCAGAAGAACATAATTCAAGTGTTAAGAGGACATTTACAAACACCATTATTAATGCCAAAACATTGGTTTATCTTTTCAGTGAGTTCTAGATGTCAGTTTTGGTCAGTTACATTGAAGGTCAGAAACTTGTCCATATATTGTATATTGATAAAATACTTCTCTGTGGTTTCACGTTCTCATCTGAGGTATCATCCAAGCCAAACTCATCCTTGATGAATTAATATCAATGGAGTCACATGCCAGGAGTGCAGTCCTTTCAGTACTCATCAGTCTAGTATCAAATGGGTATTTAATTGGTCCAGTTTGCAGAACTGACCCCTGGCTCTCACTCAAGCCACCCCCTGCGACACAACATGGATATTATGGACCTGTTGCATCCTTTTTTCCCCTCACTGTCCCAAGTACCCACAGACCTTCCCATCCAAACTGGTGAGATACATTCAGGTAAAAAATATGCCACTTGGCTTAGCCCAAATCTTTTTGTCATGCTTCTGCTTCTCAGTCAGATCAGCCATTTGTATGTTTTAGTTCACTTGTGCCATCCATAAACCTCCTCTGGGTGTGCAGGGCATGGCTGAAGCCCCCAGTTTGGGCCCTGTGAGGGGGCACTGCTGACAAGCCCCTGTGGCTGCAAGGGAGGGAGAGAGAGAAGAGTCCATATGGGTGCTGGTAATCTTGGCTGGGACCTTCATAGCTCTGAGAATGTCGGCAGATGTTGGATATGGAGCACTGCTACTCCCAGTGTACTTGCAAGTGGGTCCCAGCTCCTCAGTGTCACCATCTTGGAGGGACAGAGAGGAGCCCCATAGCTTCTGAAGTCACACGTGCTTTTTGCCTTTTGGGGGAAGACAAGGACTTTGGCTGGAAACAGCCAGCACAAGACAGCCAATGGAAGGTACTTTCAGTGAACAGCACGAAGTTATTTTGGTCTCACACTATGCACTACCTTTGCTATTTATCCCCGAGTGTCTTTTCTAGCACTGTGTTTATTTATACTCACACAACTATAGCCCCCTCAGTGACAACGTCAGTAATTCTCAAGGCAGTGGCATTTGTAGTGGTGAGCAAAAGGCAAGAGCTGGTCCCCATCAGTGGCAGGGTGACCAGTGACGAAGGCAGTATGTCACAGACAACTTTGGAATTCTTGGCTTCCTCCCACCTAGAAAAGGAATGGAAAGAGGGAGATGGAGCTCAAAAAGGCAAGATGCAAAGGCATCCCCATAGAGGCTTAGGGGTTTTGCCAAGAGAATTAAAAATGTTTTACAAGGAATCAAGTAGGTTTATAGGAAATCTGGAGATCTGTGTATGCCAAGGGCTTCTCATTCTTCCAAGGCAAAGCTGTTAGCACGGCACTTTTTAAAGTTACTTCCTGAGATATCCCAGCTCAACTCACTCAATTCATGCTCTAGTGATGGTATTGCAGATTGGCAAAAGGGAAATTCATTGTGTCCAAAACCTTGTCATTTTCTTGCTTTAGGAAAGAAGTGATTCTGTGAGAGAGCAGATTCAACATACTCAACTATTATTTACATCAAAGAAATGAACTGGTTCTTTTGATGACCTTGGAAAAATGCAACTTGATTTGTTTGAGCAGGGCATTTTAAAGGTTTTTAAAAATCCTATTTGATAATATTATGGATTAATCAAGGCACACACAGCATCTGGACCTGCATGTTCTGTTGGCATGTGTGCCTGCCTGTTCAGAGGGGCACAAATTTCCTGGCACTGATGAGAGTGATACCTCAGGGCTTTTTGAGGATTAAGCCTTGATTCCCTGTGCTGACATTCTCCATAAAGGTCAGTTAGCATTTCCCATGTCCGCTGTCAAATTCACTGACACTGAGCCCTCTCTTTCACTAAAGATGATTCAGGCCTTGGAATATGCCCTTGACTAAGGAGCTATTTTGGTTTCAGAACCAGCTGTTTCTCTGGTGCAAACGGGTGTAGCTCTTATTTAAGTCAAAGGAGGGGAGTTTGACAACCTTAGCTGCTTTGCCAGTATATCTGTTTTGGCAAATCCTCCTAGCAGAAGCACAGCTTATATCCACAAGAGAGTGCTTTGAGTGGTAGGTCTGACTCCTGCTCCCTGTGTGAAGGGATGCAGAGAGGAAGAGGCTGCTTGGCTGACATAACAGTGCCAGTACAAGGCTTTATCTGCCATGACTATGGGTGTTTCTCTTGCAATCATGATGGAAAAGGCTAGTCTGGCAAATCCTTTGAGTGTGGGCCAGGCCTGAGGACCTGGCTGTATATTTAGATGTCCCCTACTGTCATTTTCAGTCTGTGTGCTGAAAGATCTGTGGGCTTCTCTGTTTGGCATTATCTCCTTGATATGAGGTCTCTTAAACCACCCTCTCCCTTCTCTTGCTGCCCTCTGTGCCTTCCCAGTGTGCAAGCTGCAGTGCTGTCAGTCATAGCTTTTCCTTGTAAAACCTGCACCTTCCTCCCAGGCAGGCCTGCCCTCCCTACAGTGCTAATGCTCCTGACAGCTCAACAGCAATCCCTGTCCTGCCAGCTCCACTCCATGCCATCTGCGTGGATGAAGCCTCTCCTTCAGCCCCCAGGCCCGCCAAACCTGTGCTTTGCTTGTGTCTTGGATCAAGTCACATTCATCATCTCCCTTCCCTCATGGCCAAAGAAGTCTCTGCCTTTGTCCATGTCTCTATGTAACAATACAGGAGAGCCAACCAAAAAAGAGTAGAGTGCTTTAATTAATCATATCTCCATTGTATAGCTGGATAACTTGAGGCCAGCAATATCTGGTGGGTAGCCCAAGGTCATAAAGACATTCTGTGTCAGAACCTGCATTTATATCCAGCTTTCCTGAATCCCAGACCCTTATCTTAGTCATTAGAGCACCTATAACAGCTCTCTGCTACACTTTCCCCTGCATGTACTAATGAATATTTCCCCTTCAATATTGAACACTTTCAGTCATGAACTCTTTATTGTATACCCAGATGCAGTCTGACAAATCCATGTTTTCCCTTTACTAAAGCAATGGAAGCATATACTTCTGATGAAATTTAGCTTCAGCTAAAGAACCAGCAAAGTTTTTTCTGTTGCTGCATTTTCCTTAGTTCTTGAAATCAGTGCTGAGACAAGTCCACTTGTGTGACATCTGCTGATAAACTGGGATCATGAATATAAAATCCAGACTTCTTACATCAGTCTGAACATACCAGACATTCTCTAGGTCAGTATTTGGAAAAAGCTATCACAGGCAGCTTATGGGGCAGGAGTGGATTTCATACATATGACTTATACTCTAGTTTTAGCATAGAAATATCTGAAGCATGTATCAGTGACTCATTTGTTAAAATATTGAATCTTGAAGCAAGGAAATTATCTTGCTGACTGTGTTTCTGTACTTTCTAGTATGTGTCATGGAAAAAATTGGCTATCATGCCAGACTGCCTCCGAGGAAGGTCATATTCCTTTAGCACCTGTTGATTAACACAATACCTTACTTTTAATTATTAAGCATGATTGAAGCCTCTGTGGGTATTTCCAATAGTTGCTGGAATGCTGAGATAGTGGATATTTACCTGTTCTGGCCTGCTGGGCTGTAAGAACCCAGAAGGAGTCATTTGTTTACATTAAGATTCCCATTCTGATGAAGTCTGCCCCAGAAGACTCCACAGCTGGAGGGTGCTATATCTGCTGATCCAGATCAGTGCTGTGCTGCTCTTCCAGACCTCCTCAGGGCTGGCTAGTTTTTGTAATTTTGGTCTCTCAGGACCTTTTCGAGTAAAGAGATAATGCAAAGCCTCTGACACCCAGGAGGAAATGTCAGCTCGGTGGGATTAGGTGACAGTGATGAGCTGAAGTGGCAGTGTTGTGGATGGTGGGAGACTCTGATGGGTCGTGGTCTTGTGGCAAATAACAGGTTGAAAACAAAGTATGAGCTACCCAGTGGAATTATATGGAATTAGATGACATCTCCCTAGCGTGGCTTTCTCTCCAAGACCCCGTAGTGCAGAGGCAGCTGTCCATGGATCATGGTGCAGGAGGGCAGTCAGGCAGAAGGAAAGGGGACGTGGTGTGGTACCATGGGTACATGTGCTATGAGCTCGTCTGCGAAGGAGTTTGGACGTAAAGGTCTCACCTTCAGGTCACAGGATTAGATGGGTTGGATTGGGCTGATGAAGATATGCAAGGGAGCCAGAGTAAGCCATGCCCTTCTGGATGCTACATGTCAGCATCCTCCCCTGTGTCAGCAAAGAAGAGCTCTGTTGACGTGGAGAATACGTGTCTGAAGCCAGTTACATCAGCTCTGCCCCAGCTCCAGGCATGTTGTAGCAGAAATGCAGGATTTCAGCAATGCTGTTCAAGGTTCATGGGCTTTTCAAGAGAATTGTCAATGCAGACCAGTACTGTTTGCACTGCAACTGAGTGAAAAATGTTGTGGAGGGAACATAAATCAGCAAGTTAGGATTTTATTTTTGGGCTGAAAATAGAACATTTCTGCCTTGTGATTTCCCAGCTTAAACTTTATGTGGACATTGCTCAATTTTTTTTTCATTATTGCTATAATTTAATTGTGGGATTTAGTCTTTGGAAACAACCAAACAAACTGAAAACAAAACACATCAACCATCCAGTTCTGTTATTCAAAAGAAAATTTGTTAGCAGGATATGTGCACTTATTAAATTAGAATGTTTATTAGTTGCTCATTTACTCCTTCAAGTATGAGAGGAAGCTCTCTCTTGTCTCCCAACCTGCTTCTGTCTGGGAAAGCTGATAATATCTTGCTTTTAAACTGCAATTTCTCCTCCTGTTTTCAGCAGACTTGATGGTTGCAAATGAAAAGTGACCACAGAGGGAGTGGCTAAAGTGTCACTGTTGAACAGGCTGATGATTATTAGTCATGGTATATATTGGGAAAGGCTCTTCATAATTTTATATGCCATAAAAATAATTTGTTTTTGCTCCGAGTCCACTAAACTGCTGTTTCAGCTGGATATTTGTTGCAGCTTGCTGCATTACAAAATCCTTGGTCATCTGGATAGTATTTCTGTAGCAGGGGTGAGAAGTTATGGTAGCAGCTCTAAAGCTTTATTAGGAAGAAAGTTCTATGTTTACTGTTTAGCATGGGATAGACTAGGAAGGGAAGATAGTTTGTTAGAAATGCCAACACTGTAATTTTATCCTTTTTTTTTGGACATCTTTTCTACTTACGTAATTTATAAAGCCCCTTTCAGTAGGGGCTTCATGTAAAATATCATAGGCAAAAAATGTATGGGAACATCCTCTTCTAGCTCTCCCTTCCAAAGGAAAACATGGAGTAGTTAAGCTTTACATTTTCTGAAGTGCTGCATGCATGTGGTTGTGGAATTGAACATGCTTAGAGCTCTCTGAAATACTTCTCATGCTGCTATAAATATACACACTTTACTAACAACTTGCATTATTGGCAACATTGTTGTCTACTGTACTCATTTCAAAAATAATGGTTTTGTGTAATTCTCAGCAATATGATACAAACATAACCCCTGTAATGAAAAACTGGTTCAAAAAGGGACTGAAGACCTCATTGTTCGGTCTAATACATAATCTGCTGACTGCTCTGTTCAATTTGGGCTTCAGACTGTAAACTCCTGGGTCAGGTTTTTTATAATCTTGGTGTGAGCCGACTGATTGAAGCACAGACAATGGAAGGGCAAGCCAAAGGCTCCAGATCTTACTGGCTTATTGTTATTTCAGATTCCCACTTCCAATTTACTGGAAAAAAAAATATGTATTTCACTCATAAGATGGGGAAGAAGAACTCAAAAACTGTGATTTTAATGGGGACAGGTGGTAGTCTGAATCTCCAGCACCTGGAAACAGAGAGCCAAGAGATGTGAACCAACTGATCCTCCCAGGGTAGTGCTAATTTCCAGACCTATCCCTCACTCAGACCATCAGTGCTGCGGTTCCCAATTCCCAACTAAGGAAGGTGACCTGTAAAATACAGAAGAGAGAGATGATCCCAGCCCTTTCTGAGTAATGCAGAGATGGGCATGGCCATGGTGACAACATTCCCCCTTTATGCTACTGATGTGGCTTTTTTTCTGAAGAAATGGCAAGGTTTACTGCTTTGGGGATGGATCCTGTTTTGCTTATGGAGGTTTAAGAAACTTCCTACCATGTGGTGAGAGTGGGGAAGGAAAGATGTGGCTTGCACTGCACTACAATTTTTCTCTTAAAATATTTTATAATTAAAAAAAAAATTATGCATTCGCTGAGATCTAAACTGATTATAAATGTCTCATTTTGAAAACAGTGGCAGATTTTACCCTTTTGATAATTCCACAGAAAATACTTAAATTAATTGATTTTCTTTTTTTTTTTTTTTTTTTTTTTATTTTTTTTTTTTTTTTTTTTTTTTTTTGGTAATTTAGGCTGACTCAAATTATCGGTATGAAACAGCTTGATTTAGTCCAAGCTTTTTTTATGGCTGACCTCTGAAAAATGTTATTTGTCTAATTTATTCAACTAATTCAAGCTAGGAAATCTGCCAAATTCTTGAAAATTCTCCAGTGACAGGAAATTATTATCCTGTGACTTCTCTAAGTCTAATGGTGTTTCTATTTAGCCTGCTCATAGCTTTGGTAGTGGACAACAACTTGTAATATTGACTGATGGTTTCTTTGGCACTGGGTTAACTTTGGCGTATTTGAGGTACTGGGACTCTCCTGTCAGAAAAGCAGGCAGTGACACACAGATCATTCAAAGGACAATTCTTTGATGTCTTTTATGACCCAAACAGGAGAGAACTGGCCTCACCCACAGGCCAGCCTGTATTTATCCAAGCTGCTTGCTCCATCATAACTTTCCCCGGTGCTAACGGGCTGTGTGAAAGAGGACACCGTGTTCCTTACCCTGCTTCCAGCCTCTCCTCCATGCTGGCAAAAGCAGAGGCTTGAGTGTGGCTGCGATGATATTCTCTCTTTCTCTGCAGGTTTCAGGTTGAAGGGGGCCCCTGACGGCCAAAGGACTCGTGACATTAAAAAATACACACTTTTGAGTCTGTGTTGACACACAGACATTTCATGGTCTTAAATAACACTTGACTGGCATGTTCTTTTTTGATGCCA